CTGTAATAAGAATCTGAGAAGATTGCCAATGGGAACTAAATGCTGGGTTGAAACCTATACGGCCCTCTTCGCAGAGCGAGCCACCTGCAGCTCTTCTCACGTGCGCCCATCTAGCGACATCAGTGGGCATGCGCAGTCCGAGTCCCGCCCACTTTCTCTGGAACCACCAATCACCGTGCGAGCCTGGCAGCAGGCCGGAAGCCACGCTGAGCGGATTGTGTAGGGTCTCCGTCCCGGTTCCTGGGCTACTGCGAGCAGACCCTGCTGAGGCGTCCATCCCAGGTAACCGAGAGGCCTGGAAGAGAGGAGCCAGATAGGGCTGGCCTTGTGCGTGTTTGGGCGAGGGCTTCCTTGGCGTCCACCATGAGCCAGACCTCAGGGTCTCGGCTTGTCCATGCCTGGGTCTCGGACTCTGGCGGCCGTCTAATGGGAAGTAAAGGTTCCAAGGCCCAGATGAATGGAGTTGGAATGGAGGAGAGGGTCTGCGCCAGACAAACGTTCGAGAAGATTTCGGCCTAAATGAGAATTTGTGAAGGGGCCCACTTAAGACAATTAGTGTGTACTTGGGGCCGGGGGCGGAGTTCAGGGTATGGAGTGAAGTAGCCTCCATTGGAGAACCCGCCACCCTCCCATGGCCTGCGCCTCTTTGTAAGCATCCCTCAGCCCCACACGGCCTTTCGGGTGGGGAAAGCCATTTCATCCAGGTGAGGATCAGGCACGTTGAGAACCATGTAGGCTGACAGTGGTTGAGACAGTTGGGGATCTACCATAGATTTTATTCGTCCCTTAAGCTACCGTACGGTCTCTGCAGAAGAGTGGGGATTTGGACTTACTAACTAAAGAATTGTAAAAAGTAAGTCGGGCGCTGGCGGCTCATAACTGTAATCCTAGCTACTCAAACCCAGAGATCAGGAGGATTGAGGTTCGAAGCCAGTCCTGGCAAATAGTTCAAGAGATCCTATTGGCCGTCACAAAAAAGGGCTGGGGGCGTGGCTCCAGTGTCTAGCAAGCTTGAGGCCCTGAGTTCAAAACCAGTAGCACAAAAAAATAAAATAAAAATGATTTGTAAAATTAGAGCACAACTATGAAAACGAGAAGATGGAAAACTAAGCAAAAAAGGCTAGGACTAGATCTCTTTTTTTTTTTTTTTTCCGCTGTTGAGGTTTGAACTCAGCCTACCCTTAGCCACTCCATCAGCCCTTTTGTGTGATGGGGTTTTTCTTCCCTTTTTTTTTTTTTTTTTTTTTTGGTACTGAGGTTTGAACTCAGAGCCTACACCTGGGCAAGGCCATTCCACCAGCCCTTTTGTATTGGGTATTTCTTTTTTTCTTTTATTTTTTTTTTTTTAGTGGTATTGGGGCTTGAACTCAGGGCCTACACACCTTGAGCTATTCCACCAGCTCCCCTTTTTTTGTGAAGGGCTTTTTGAAATAGGGTCTCAAGGAACTACTTGCCTGGGCTGGCTTTGAACCTCAATTTTCTGATCTCTGCTTCCTCAGTAGTGAGGGTTACAGGCATGAACCACTGGCACCCAGCTAATAATATATTTTTAAGCTTTGTTTTCCTTAAAGCGATAGATCACAAATTATGGCCTCTAGCCAGCAAAATCACCTGAGACCTTAGAAATAAAACAGACCTGCTGAATCAGAAATTGGGGATGTGGCCCAGCCATCTTTTAAGTAGGAAAGTACAAGGAAGAACACTTGACATGATGTCTGCCCCTTAAAAATTTTAAGTGTACTGTATAGTCATTTTGTGTGACTGAAACTGTATCCATTGAGTGGCAACTCCCCATTTCCTTTTTTGCACAATCCCTAGATCTTTGGCATCCACCATTCTACTTCCTATCTTAACAAGTTTTACTATTTTTGATTCTGTATAAGTGAGATCATGCAATATGACCTTCTGTGACTGGCTTATTTCACTTAGCATAATATGATCAAGGTCCATTCATGTTGTAGCATAAGCCAGAATTTCCTTCCTCTTAGTCAAGGTGCCAGTGGCTCTCACCCTTAATCCTAGCTACTTGGGAGGTTCTAGGGCAGCCTGGGCATATAGTTGCACAAAACCCCATCCCCAAAATAACCAAGCCAAAGGGATTGGAGGTGTTGCTCAACAGCAGAAGGCTTGCTACGTCCCTAAATTCAATCTCAGGTACCAAAAATAATTCCTTTCTCTTCCTGTTGTGTTGTACTGGGGATCAAACTCTAGGGTATTACAAGTATGTTCCATCATGCCAGACAATTTCCTTTTTAGGGGAATAATATTCCATGCTGCAGACACCCTTTGTCTATCCATCCATTCATAAATAGAGGGACCAGGGATGGGCTTTAACCTCTGGTGTCTGGAGGAAACCCAGCTCTGGGGAGGTTAGGAACTTAGTACTGCTACTCTTCAGGTTCTGCAGTCTTTCTTTCTGTTTTGGGGGGTGGGGGAGATGCCAGGGCTTGAACTCAGGGCCTACATCTTGAGCCTCTCCACCAGCCCTTTTTGTGTTAGGTATTTTCAAGATAGGGTCTGTTTGCCTGGGCTGGCTTTGAATCTCAATTCTTCTGATCTTTGCCTCCTGAGTAGCTAGAATTACAGGTGTGGCACTGGGGTTTGAACTCAGCCTAAGGCTTGCTAGACAGGTGCTCTTACTGTTTGAGCCACTCCCCCAGCCCTTCCTTGTGTTTTTTAATGTATTTCTGTGTTAGTAGAATTTTCTAGAAGTTGAGCATCTTTAATATAATGATCAAAAATAATTTAAAAATTCTGAAACTTTTCTTTTCTTCTCTTAGAGCTGGAAAATCTCCTGAAGCATACTATTCCAGTGAGCCTGTTGGAAGTTAATGCCTTAGCTGGACAGTGAGGACTTAGCAACTAGGAGAGACATAGCAGCTTTTGGGTTAAATACTAGTGTGTTTTACATGTAAGTACACATTTATGTGAAATCTATAAAAATGTATTGAAGTAAGGATGGAGGTTTGAGGCCAGCCTGGGCCAATAGTTTGCAAGACCCCATCTTCAAAATCAAAAATAACCACAGGAAAATAGACTGGGGGTGTGGCTCAAGCAATAGAGCACCTGCTTTGCAGACATGGAGGAAACCCTGACTTCAAACCCCAGTCCCACCGAAAAACAAAAAGAAGCAGTAGGCTGGGCTGGGGGCATGGTTCAAATGGTAGAGTGCTTGCCTAGCAATCGAGGCCCTGAGTTCAAACTTGGAAAAAAAAAAAAACAAGTTTTCTGGGCTGGAAGATCTCAAGTTTGAGATTTTTTTTTTTTAAATGAGTTTAAGACTTGCAGTAGTCAAATCTAGAACTTGAGGTAGTCTAAAGAACAAAGATGAAGAAAAGGACTTAAAAGAGCTAGAAAGCAAATGCATTGTGTAGACCTTGTTTGGATCCAGATTTCATCCAATATTTAACTTAGAAAGCTCCTTCCCCAAGAAAATCGACACATACTAGCTACCATTTGCATTTTTTTTTTATACTGGGGCTTGAACTCAGGGCTTTCACATCGAGCCACTCCGCCAGCCCTTTTTGTGATGGGTGTTTTTAAAATAGGGGCTAGACAACAATTTGCTTAGGCTGCTTTCGAACCTCTATCCTCCTGATTTCTGCCTCCTGATAGCTAGGATTACAGGCAAAATGTTGTTATAATTCTCATTTTTATCGGTCAAAGAAATAGATTCAAAAAGGATGCATGGCTTTGCCTAAAGAAACTCAGTATGTAGCCGAGCCAGGATTCAAACCTAGTGTCTTTTGAATGTTAGTCCTTACATTGTGAGACACTGCCACCTATAGCCAGTTGCTGCTACAGCTTTTGATATGTACAGGCCCAAGCTGCTGGGTTAAGTTCGGGAATACTTCAAAATGGAGACACTCAGTACCACTGCTTTTTCTTTTTTCTTTTTTTTCCCCCTGGTATGGAGAGGAAATCTGTAGTAAAGAACATGATAGATCATCAATCCAAAGCCAGTTTCATATGTTGAAGCCACGCCCAAATTGCTACTGTCACTGAGCACCTGTGGCTCACTCCTGTAATCCTATCTCTACTCCTAGGAGTCAGAGATCAGTTTCGAAGCCAGCCCCAGGCAAATAGTTCTCAAGACCCTATTTCAAAAACAACCACCACAAAACAGGCTGGCAGAGCACCCCTGAATTCAAACCCTAGTGCTGCAAAAAACAGAAGGGGAGGAGAACATAGAGTTCAGAAAGTATCTAGCTGTATAAGAGATGGGGAAGGAATATTGCCTTAGGAGTTAGGTGGCTTGTAAGCTTGATAGATAAATTTTATGTGCTTAAAATTGGGTATGGATGGGCATCTTGAAAATAAGCCTGGAAATTTTTCTCCTTCATTTTTTATGTTAAAATTTTCAAACCTATAGAGAAGTTTAACACATTGCTTAGAGTCACACAGTTTTAACTTTTTTTCTTCTTTTTTGAGTGAGTCTCCTTATGTAACCTAGAATGGTCTGGAACTTGTGGTTCTCTTGACTCCACCTGTTCAGTACTGAAATTATGGATGTGTAGTATGATACCCAGCCTGTTTTTAATGAGCAATGTGGAGGTGTAGTCTACAATATGAATGTCCTGTATTCCCAAGAGCTTACACTCAGTGATTTTCGCGTTCCTTTATGATTCATTTGTGAATGTTTCAATACATTGGTGATTATAGAATCACATTTTTAACATAAATGTCTTTTTCTCCCCCATAGGAAGTATTCATTTGTTTGGACCTGACACAAATTTCTTGAACAAGAAAGCTTGACTTGGCTTCCATCATTGAGTAGCAAAAGCAGCAGTCCACCTAATGTGTAGAGGTTTCAGGCTCTGGTATATTCCTGGCAGCAGACTCTGGAGCTAAAGTACAGAGGGCCAAACAAGTTTTTAGAGGCTGTCATTAATGTGACAGCAAGTAAAATTGAAAGCTGGTGAGTTTTTAAGTCCTAGGGGAGGAAATCCAGTGTTTTCTGGGTCCTGAGCTCTAGAGAGCCAGGCTTTACTTAAAGAAGCATGTCCTTGCCAACCTCCTTTGTTCAAGACTCAGAAGAGTTTGAAACGGCCTGGAAACACCTCCAAGCACAGGCTAGCTGTCCCATCTGTCTGGAGTACTTTAAAAACCCAGTGACCATCAACTGTGGCCATAACTTCTGTCTCCCCTGCATCAAATTGTTCTGGAGCAATCTACAGGATAGTTTCCCGTGCCCATCCTGCCACTTTCTCTGTCCAGAAAGGAAATTCTCCAGCAATCCCCAGCTGGGTAATTTAGCTGAAATTGCTATGCTACTCCCCATAAGAAGAAGCAAAAGGAAAAGGCCAGAAGAGAAGTTTATGTGTAAGAAGCACAAACAGCCCCTGGTATCTTTCTGTCAGAAGGACCTAGAAGTTTTATGTCGGCATTGCGGTTCCTCCCCTGATCATCAGCATCACTATATTTGGCCCATACAGAAGGCTGCTGTCTGTCACAGGAAACAGCTAGAACATTACACTGAGCTATGGAAAGAAAGAGTGGAACGAATTGAAAAAGTGATACCTATGCAAGCTAGGAAAGCACAGGAGCTGAAGAAAAAGGTAGAACGTAAGAAAGAAGAAATAAAATCTGAATTTGAACAACTTATATCATTTCTCCAGAGTGAGCAAGAGACTGTTCTTAGGCAGTTACAGGATGAAGAGATGGTTATTTTAGCAAAACTAAATGAAAACCTTACAAAATTTGCAGATCATGCCTCCTCATTAAGATATCTGTTGAAGGAGCTAGAAAGCAAATATGTAACTTCAGAACTGGAATTACTGGCAAATGTTAAGAGTATCTACCATAGATATAAAAACTTAAAATGCCCTGAAATGTTTCCATTCACACTCAAAGATTATGGTTACCGGATTCCTCCACAGTATTCTGGCCTACACAGAATCATCAAACGATTTCAGGTAGGTGTAACTCTAGATCCCGAAACAGCACATCGTAAACTTACTATCTCAGAAGAAGGAAAAGCTGTGCGCTATGGAACTATGCAGAAATTACCTCATAACCCAAGGAGATTTTATCTCTGCCCAGCTGTTCTGGGTTCTGAGGGGTACAATTCTGGAAGACAGTACTGGGAGGTGGAGGTGGAAGACAAGCCCGAATGGATCGTGGGTATCTGTAGAGACTCTCTCCCCAGACGGAAAAAGAGCCAGAAACAACAATTTTTAGTACAGGATGGATTATGGGGAATAGGGCGATGCAGTCAGAGCAGTTATATTGCATTGGGTCCTAAGAAAATTAATCTTTTGCCAAGAGAAACACCTAGTAAGATTGGTGTTTTTTTAGACTATGAAATGAGTGAGGTTTCCTTTTATAATTTGAGTGATAGATCTCTTCTCTATACTTTTAATGATTATTTTAAAGAAGCACTTTTCCCTTATTTCTATACTGGAACTGACTCAAAACCTCTTAAAATCTGCACAGCAACAAATTTGGACTGATGAACTATTGGAAGACTCACTTGCTTTTTTTTTTCAGTTAGTGGACATGACTAAGCCAATAAATCTTACCACCAGTTCTGTTTTGTTTTCTTTCAGTTTTCTCATATAAAGTACTTTTAAAATTTGTTGGAATTGTCACAATGAATACATCCTAATAAAAATATATTAAAAATTTATTTCAATAAGTTTGTATAATGCCTGCTTTAAAGATAAATTATGGAGTCCAATTAGAAAGTGCTTTAGAAATTGTTAGATAAAATAATTGAGGGCTGGTGGAGTGGCTCAAACAATAAGAGCACCTCCTAGCAAGCATGAGGCCCTGAGTTCAAACCCCAGTGCTGCCAAAAAAAAAAAATTATTGAAAAATGCATTACTAAGGAAAATGTATTGGTCCACCAGTTACCAATAAAATATTAATCTTTTCTGTACTAAATGTCAACATAGTTTCTCTTTTTTTCTTCTGGGGTTTGAATTCAGGGCCTTGAGTTTGTTAGGCAGGTGCACTACCACTTGAGCCATGCCCCCAACCCTATGTATTTCCTCTTTAAAAAATGAAGTCTTGAGCTGTGCATGATAGTGTATGCCTGTAATCCGAGCATTCTGGAGGTTGAGGCAGGATCTGGAGTTGGAGGTCAGCCGGGACTGCATAGACTGGTTCAGAAAACAGAAAGGATTAGAATGTGGCTTGGTGGCAGAACACTTCCTAACAAGCCTGGGGCCCTGGGTTTGATCCCCATTACTGAAGGAAAAAAATCGGCCTTTATTAGAGGCAAACATGACCACCCCTGGGCATGTTTACACCTCTGTAATGGTAGCCCTTTTTTTGTGGGGAGATGGGCAGTGGACAGGGTCTTGGTAGCCCAGTATAACCTCAAACTTTCAGTCCTGCTTCAGCCTCTTCAGTGCTGTGATTACAGACATGCCTAGCTAAGGTACCCACTTTCAACTTTGATCCGTTTGCCTCAATATTTAACTCTTTTATGTTGGCTTTTTTATGTTTTTGTGGTGCTGGGATGAAGCCCAAGGCCTTGCACATAGAGGACAAGTGCAGTACAGCTAAGTGACATCCCCAGTCCCACATGGTTTCATTTTTATTCTGTGCCTTTCTCAGCGTTGGTTTGGCACTATTAAAAATGAGGTAGCACTTTCCCCTTACCACACACCCCTTCTGCACATCTGCATTAATAGGTAGTCTTCCCAAAGCTCCTATGTGGACAAAGTACCTTCAGCTCTGTTCAGCTGCCATTTGGGGAGCTGACCTCAGAAACCTGATTAACTTAGTTCCACATTTCCCTCCAGCTCATGCTGGCCTTGATCTTGCTGCCTCTGGCCCCCCAGCGCTAGAGTTACAGCTGTGTACAACCATGCCTGGACTGACATTTCCCTTAATCTTATATCCTACAATCTTAGGGTTTTTGGTTTTTGTTTCTGCAGTACTCGGGTTTGAACTCGGCCTTAGCCTTGCTAGGTAGGTGCTCTATCACTGAAACCACATTCCAACCCCTCCTGGTCATTTTTTAAAGTGGTATTTGAGACAAACTCTATGTCCCAAATAAGCACAAACTGAAGGACGAAAGTCATTTTTTGGTGGAACTGGGGTTTGAACTCGGCGGTCGCTGGCCGTGATACTCCTCATCTTAGCCTCCCAAGTAGCGAGGATTACAAGCGCGAACCACGGACTGCAGGCTCGGAAAGTTAATTTTTATGAATTTACGGGTTACAGAGTCAAACTCATTTCAGGGCAGTTTTACTTCTCGGCTCACTGAGTAGACCTGTCCACTGCAGGGCCTCCAGATGAGTGCCTCCCTCCAGGAGCCCCAGTCCTGGTCAGTTGAAGCAAGGTCAGGCCGCGGGCACAGCATAGGAGGGAATGGGCTCTCTCTGCTCCACCCTCCCGCTCCGCCCCAGGCAGGGAGCAGAACGCGGTGGCGCCCCCGCCGCGCGGCCCCGGGTCCCTGCGCCCGAGCCAGGCTCTAACGGCGCGACCAGGCCTCCGACCCCTGGCGCGGCTGGAACGCGCAAGCGAGGAAACTGAGGCTCTGGAGGAGGCTCGTGATCGGAGGTCACCCCAGTTGCAGGTTCCGCCCGCGCAGGTCGCTGGCCCCGGCGGATTGTGACCACGGGGCTAAGACTCCCTTAGGCGCTGCGGTTTCAAGTCAATGCCAGGGCGCCCTCCTAGCATTGGTGAGGCCATGGCTCCCATCCCAACGCCACAAAAACGAAGATTTTTAAAGAGCATACTTCTTTGACTTCTATCTTACGTTCAGTAACACTAGTAATATCATAGGGGGTACAGTGTTTAAATTTGGTGGGTTCTCACTAAATCAGCGTGAAAGTTGTAGATTTATAAAAGCGCCCCTTCATATTTTTTTGTTGTATACATTCCTCTAGTAAATTGGACTTCCGGTTGGGTGCAATTATGGACCGTGGTTCTAGTTTCTTTCCACCGCTTGAATCCAGACCCCCTACCCCTTCTTTCCTTGTTTTTTGGGAATATGATATATTTCACAGGATGGTCCTCCTCTTCCCTACTCACATAAGTTTCTTACTCCAGAGAACCTCAGGTCAGTATTTTCAGAATTAGGGATCTCCCTTGTAGCCTCTGTTAGAGTTCAAGAAACCCCTGCTCTGTGCCAAGGAGGGCCTCTCTTTATAGATCCGGGTTTGTATTGTCCCCCAGGCCCAGCGAGGAGCAGCAGAGGTACACATTTTGTGGGGTTCTAGTGAGCCATCTGCTATTTTAATGTGGGCCTCAAAACTTGAACTCTTGGAACACATGAGGCAGTGGGGCAGCAGCAGCTGCAGAGGGACCTAGAGCTTGTGGCCAAAGGTGGTCATGTTTCTTCAGTATGGCCTCAAAAAGAAAGGAGATGGAGTCTACCGGCCAGCAGACCTGCTCAGCTCATCCTGTCGGGTTCCCCCAGGATGACAAGTACTTGAGACACTGCAGGGAGCACTTCTAGGTGCTCATGATCCATCAGTCACACCTTGTCCTCTGAGAGTCCTCTCAATTTCATGTCCGCTCCCCTTGGGAGAGGCAGCAACCAGCGTGAGGTACCTCCCCCATCTGTGAGCCTCATCATTGGTTTTATCAGCTTGTGATCATGGTGATAACCTCTTAAGAGGGAGCAAGTTTGACTCTTTTGTATGTTTTGAATTACTGAGAGGTTATTAAATATAAAATGACTTGGAAGACAAGAAAAAATTGAAATCTTTCAGCTGGGGATGTAATTCAGTAGTAGAGTGCTTGCCTAGCATGTTCAAGACCCTGGTGTGCCACCCCCCAGCACCTCAAAAAAAAAAAAAAAAAAAACTAAAGGAAAAGAAGAGAGGGAGGGAAGAAAAGGAAAAGGAAAACTGGTATCTTAGCTGGCCGCTGGTGACTCACACCTGTAATCCTAGCTACTCAGGAGGCAGAGATTAGGATTAGGAGGCTCTTGGTTCAAAACTAGCCCGGGGAAATAGTTTGAGACCCCATCTTGAAAATACCCAACATAAAAAAAGGACTGGTGGAGTGGCTCAAGTGTTAAAGAGCTTGCCTAGCAAGTGTGAGGCCCTGAGTTCAAACACCAGTGCTGCCAAAAAAAAAAAAAAAAAAAGTTGGGAGTCAGTGGCTCATGCCTATAATCCTAGCTACTCAGGTTTTGTAATCCTAGTTACTCAGGAGGCAGGGATCAGGTTTGTAGTTCAAAGCCAGCCCAGGCAAATAGTTCAGGAGACCCTATCTTGAAAAGTCCATCACAAAAAAGGGCTAGTGTGCTCATGCCTGTAATCCTAGCCACTCAGGAGGCAGGGATCAGAAGGATCTCAGTTCGGAGCCAGCCTTAGTTGGTGACCCTATCGAAAAAAACACATCACAGGGGGCGGAGGGCAGGGGGAGAAATGACCCAAACATTGTATGCACATATGAATAAAAGCAAAAAAAAAACCACATCACATCACAAAAAAGCAATGGGAGTGGCTCAAGGCCCTGAGTTCAAACCCCAGTACTGCAAAAACAAATTTTAAAAATTATAGAAACTTCTTTTTTGGCTGTACTGGGCTTTGAACTCAGTGTCTCATGCTTCCTAGACAAGCACACTACCACTGAAGCCATGCTCCAGCCATAGAGAAACTTCTTAGATTAGCTAAATCTCCTTCAGAGTCTTGGCAGAACGCAGCAAGTGCAGTGGATGGCGGCATCGGGCATCACAGCTGGCCAGCGAGCCAAGCCAAGTGAAGGTCCCCGGGAGTACCAGCCAGCCAATATCTCCATAATCCTGCTCACAGTGACAAAGGGTCACACCTTGCATAGACAGCACGGACCCCCACCCACAAGATTATTACTCAAAGTGGTGGTTATGGTGAGAAGTGCAGGGAAAGAATCCTCCTTGGGGATGGGCTACAGGGTGGGACTGGGCAGTTTCCAACACAACCCGGGGACTGCTTGGTTTGTACCCGCACCTGCCCCATCCTGCCCACCCCATGCCTGAAGAGGCAATGCCCTGACTTTCTCATCAGCTTGCCCAGGTGTGGGGCAAGAGGGGAGCAGAGAAACAAGCCCTGAAAGATTCAACAGCCAGACAAGTGTAATCAAAATCTTTATTACAAGCTTCATTCCAAGCACACAGGAGAATACAGCCAGCCCCACAGAAAACAGTCACCCAGGCAGTTCTATCATTCCTCTCTGACAAGACTGATTGTCAGACATTTGGAAGAATACTTAATAGAGAAAAAAGGTACAAGTGTTTCTGTAAACTTACTAGAAAAGTTACACAAACAGGATCTGCTGATCAAATTATAAAATGAAACCTCTCCCAACTCATAATCCAGAAAAACGCCAAACCGACTAACCTGCTGGTCATGCTGTGAATTTGTGTCCTGCTCAACTTGCCAACACCCACTGTCTTGGTAAGGCAGCATAAAACGTTTAGAAGACAATTCATTATGCACTCCTAAGGACCATGAACCTGTGCCTCTTACTTCTACCTGCCAAAAATATCTCCCACTTTTAAATCTCTCCTGACTCTGAACAACTGCATAAGAAGAACTTGAATAGAGAATAGAGTATGGGCTCCTTGCATCTAATTTCACACTTTTAAGATCTTTTGAGATCATAAGAGTAGGGTGGGCCATTCGTCGATTTAATGTCAAATCTACCTGAAATGTGCTGATCATTTTTTGCAGACCAAAAAAATGTGGAGGGAGAGGGCAACTCTCATTTAATTGATAAGAAGAAACAGCTGGAGGTCTTATGTTTCTGTACCTGCTGTAAAGGTTTCTAACCCCTCCCAGCAAATCCAGATCTGTTTGCAAACACTTGTCTCTCATTTCACTCCATAGATTTTTCAGGGTGGATATGTGGCCTGAAATTTCACTTCTGTTTGCCTCTAGTTTTTCTTCCCCAACCTTCACTTTAGAAAGTAGCCTGGTCTTTACGGCAACTTGTTGCCTTCCCATGAAATGGTTAAATTGTCTGAATTCCAGTTGTAATTTCTTCCTCCAATTTCGAATCTTCAGCATCAGTTTGATGGATTTTGAAACTTGAAGTTCACACTCCATTTCAGCATTTTCTAATTGCTTCCTCAGGTGACACATATGGTTTTTCAGCTTCTTCTGGTAACTCGCTGCAGCTTTGCTAATAGGTATCAGGTCATGGTTGTAGTGATCAGAGACAGCCCTGCACTGGGGGCACAATAGCTCCAGGTCGTTCTCACAGAACAGGTCCAGAACCTCACTGTGCCTCTCACACAGAGGTTCCTTGATTGGAGTGGCCGGCAGCTGCATCACAATATCAACTATGTGACGTAATTGAGTGTTGGGCTTGACAGTGTCGAGGCAATGGTGGAGGCAGACCGGGCAGGGCAAGATATCCTGGAGACCTTCCCAGCACTGCTGGATGCAGGAGCGACAGAAGTTGTGTCCACAGTCAATGGTCACCGGGTCACTCAGGTAATTCAGGCAGAAGGAGCAGCTGGCTTGCTGTTGGAGCTTGGCCAGGGAAGATGCAAAGGCCATCGTGCAGTGAGGATCTGTCTTGGAAGACCCTCAGTGGGTCTGTCCTCCAGGAACTCAGAAAGGAGGAGCTAGTGATTCCTTAGCGCTCTCTTTCCTGAAGCTTCTCAGGGTCCCCAGGAGGCTGTGACCCTACAGACCTGTGACTGCTTCTTTCCTTCAGCTCCAGAAGCAGGAGGGATGGCCTCAGGCACTGATTCTCAAAACTGAACCTTCCCATCAACTCAGGCTTGGTTATTCAGTCTTCTTCCTCTGGACATAGAAAACTTCCAGAATTCATGGAAATTAACAACTCGGTAGGAAATTCCACTGTGGGACACTCAGAGGATCAACTGACCACGCTTCTGCAACAGAAACAGAAAAAAAAAAAGTAACTAGAGTAGAGCAATGAAGAGCATATACATCAATCAGAAATGTAACTCTGGGCTGGGGGGGCATCTGCTTAGCAAGCACAAGGCCCTGAGTTCAAACTCCCAGTGCTGCTGCTGCAAAAAAAAAAAAAGACCCCATTTCCAAAATAACCAGAGCAAAATGACCTAGTGGTGTGGCTCAAGTAGTAGAATGCTGGCCAGCTTTGCAAGCCTAAAGCCCTGAGCTCAAAATCCCAGTCCCACTAAAAAAAAAGTAGCTCTAAGGGGACTGAGGTTATAGAAATTAGATTCTGTGCCAGGTGTTTGACAGAGCTTCATTCAGCACTATGTATATTGGAGAGTGGTTCTGTACCTTACACACAAAGGCTTCTGCATTTACACATATGCATGCTTGAAAAAAGTTGAAAGGAAGGGCTTAGTGATAGAGGGCACACCTAACATAGACAAAGCCTAGGATGCTATCTCAGGATGAACATGCCAAAAAGAAAGGAAAAAACAAACAAAGCAAACAAAAAACCCAGCAGGGCTCAAGCCTGTAATCCCAGCTACTCAAGAGGCAGAGATCGGGAGGATCAAAGTTCAAAGCCAGCCCTGGGCAAAAAGTTTGGGAGACCCTATCTCAAAAAAGCCATCATAAAAATGGGCTAGTGAAGTGGCTCACGTGTAGGCCCAGAGTTCAAACCCCATACTGCCAAGAAACCAAAACAAAACAAAACAAAAAAACACTGCAGTGTGTGGAGGCAAATGTAATCTCAGCACTCTGGACACTGTAGGATTGGGAGTTCGAGGCTAGCATGGGCTACATAAGGAGACCCTGTCTCAAAAAAAAAAGAAAGAAAGAAAGAAGAAGAAAAGGATGACACTGGACACAAGTGGCTCATGCCTGTAATGCTAGTTACTCAGATGGCAGAGATCAGAAGGATCTTAATTGGAAGCCAGTTAGGGCAAATACTTTGAGAGACCCTAACTTGAAAATACCCAACACAGAAAAGGACTGCTAGAATGACTCAAGTGTTAGAGAGCCTGTGCAGCAAGTGTGAGGCCCAAAGTTCAAACCCCAGTACTGCCAAAAAGAAAAAAAACTTTCTCATAGGCCAAATGCATGATGCACAGAATAAAACTGAAGATTAGAATTTTGATGTGAGTCTGGGGATGCAATTCAGTGCTAGAATGCTTGGCTAGAATAAAAGAGGCCATGAGCCAGAGATCAGGAGGGCTGTGATTCGAAGCCAGCCCAGGCAAATAGTTCCATGAGACCCTATCTCGAAAAACCCTTCATAAAATTAGGGCTGCTAGGGTGGTTCAAGGGAAGGCCCTGAGTTCAAGCCCCAGTTCTGCAAAAGAGAGAGAGAGAGAAAGAAATGGTTTGAACTAAATAAACTCTGTCCTACCAGACTCCACAAAAATCTAAATCCCATCATGGTGAACACACCCGTAATCCCAGCAGTCAGGAGGCTGAGGCAGGAGGATCAGAATTTCAATGTGAGAAAAACTTAGAAACTCACATCAACCAATCTTTGAGGTTATTAGCAAGCTACCATCCAGTAAAGATTTGTAGGCACAAGATCCTGACAAGGACAGGAGCATTCTTTTCAAACACTGACTCATTCTGACCTGGAAGCTGAGCAGATAAAGCAGAGCTTTCAGCTAACAGCCTGGGTGGAGGGAACAAAACAGCCCCCAGGGAATGTGTCCTGGTTTATGGCCCAAATTAAGATCTCAAGGTAGAGAGTGGGTGGAGTCCAGTGTTCAGTGACTTGAACGCTGGAAGAGGACCTTTTGGGTTTGATTGCTGAAAGGAGAGGGCAAGTGTGCAAGAACTGGGGAATCAGTGGATGACTGAAGGGACTTGCACAGCCAGGGGAATGTAAGTCATACAAACCAAGGGACAAGTGGACAATAAAGAAGCAGATCGTTTCAAATAATTCAGAGCTGGATCACCTGCCTAGCAAACTCCAAGCCCTGAGTTCAAACCAAAAATAAAATAAAATGAAATAATCCAGACAGGTGAGAGATGACCAGGAGAGACTATTCTTCATGCCTTAGCTGATTGGCAAAGGTTTAAAAGATTTTGAAAATAGGCAGTGGAGCAGGAGAGGGAAGATGGCAACAGGTGACAGCAGGGACTCAGAGCAACTCCACCAGGGCTGAAGTCCTGGTGCCTCCATTTTTGGAGCTGGGACCTGACTAGTCACAAAGGACTAAGAGGAGGGGAGATGTTCCCACTGCAGGCCTGGTACACAGAAGGTGCTCAGTGGTTTCTAGTAATACACATACTACTTGTCACCACTGCTGTCCTCTCCAAAGTTACAACCCATCCAGGGACGGCATCTGCCACTCCACGGGGTCTTGTCCAGTCAGCTCTCACGTGGATCTGATCATGGCCTCTCCCATAGTGCTTCTCTCAGCTCCAGTGTCCCTGCACACTGAGCTCCCTGCGGCTGTCACCTTCCTCCACCTTCTCTAGGCCCAGCTATCAGCAATCTCCTCCCCTCTCGCGTGCTGTCATCAGCTCCACATCATTTCTCACTCCCTCCTGACCCAGGCAGCCCTGACATCCAGGAGGAGTCAACTCCTCTACCAGAAGGTCTCACGTAAGTGAGGACAGTTTGATGAACAGTCCAGTCTGTTAGGACTGTTAGAAATTTACACATATTTCAAAGTGGCATTTTGGCATTCCCCAGTAACTGGGACCCCCATGTTAGGCTGGCCCATGAGTGAGGTGCTTAGCCAGCACCTAATAGACAAATGTTGCCCAGGTTCGCGAGTCTCTCTAAAACTGAATATCTGTAAGCAAGCTTGCTGGGTAGAGGACGGACACCCGCCCCCCCAAGGCCCCAAGGCTCTTGCTTTCATCACTACCTGGGTACAAGTCTCCCTTGCTGCCACATCCTGTAAGGTGAGTACACAGTGCCTTCAGACCAGCACCTGTGTGAGGATGGACAGATTTGAAAGTTGGTTCTTCTCTTTCCTTATCCCACCACCAGAACAGGGCAGGATCTGGGCAAATATACTTCAGCTTTAACTGTTACTTTACTTTGCTGGGCAATGGTCATGAAGATCCCGAAGCCATAATAAACAGCATGAGTTTAATTGAATTAATTTTTTCCTGGTGTTGTGGATCAAGCCCTGGACCTCTTCTGTGCTGAGCACACACTCTACCTTGGCATAGCCTTGAAAATAACTACATCCTGACTTTGAATCCCTTTCCAGTAAGATCTCTAGTCAGACACACTGCAGATACCCACCCACTTACCTGGAGCAGGAGGCGCTGAGAGGGTCTCGGAGGTGGGGCTCCCGGACAGGTCTGCAGAGCCAGTCTCGCACCACAGCGAGTACTCGGCGCCTGGCCTGGCCTTATATGCAGGGCCGGTGGCTCCTCCCTCAGAGGGCGGGGCCTGACAGTGACGGAAGGATGGGGGGGCAGGGGGTCGGGGGACGCGCCTGGGATCTCGTCAGGCCAGGTGGGTGGGTGTTGCTCAGATGATCTCATTACCGCCTTGAGACTCCCCATTTATCCTCTCATGGCTGATGAGGAAAATGAGGACCATAAAGGCTGACCTGACCTCCGCCCTCGCCCCCCGGGGATGTGCCTCCCCGCAGCCCACCGCACAAACCCTCCCTCAGCCTGCGGTTCCAGCCCTGTCGCGGTCCCGCGTCCCGCTGCCCCACATGGCTGGAAGGACTTGAATGGTCCCAGGGCGCACGTCTTTCCTTGCAGCTGGAACCTAAGGTGACAGCTTGCACCGACTCCCTCTTCCTTCCTCAGCAGCCTGTGACCTTATGAAGGTCCACAGCATTTCGTGCTCACACCCCACAGGCGACCTTCATTCTAAACCTGAAAGGAAGGACAGTGGGGCATGGTGGCTCCCCACCAGAGTGACTGAAAAAAAAAAAAATCACAATTCAGGACAAAAGAAAAAAGCGGAGTGAAAAGCAAAAGAAGAGGGGAAAAAAAAAAAAAAGACCCTACCTGACAACAAAAGGGGGGAAGGTTGGGGTTGTAGCTGAGTGCTAGAGGGCTTCCCTAGCATGGCCGGAAGCCCTGGCTTCAATCCCCAGCATGGCAAGGAAACAATAAAATAAATAATTAAAATGAGCCCGACTGCTGGTAAAGCACAGCGGTAAAGTACTTGCCTAGATAGATAAATAGATAGATAGATGATAGATAGACAGACAGACAGACAGATAGATAGATAGTTAGTTCTGGGGATTTCACTCAGGTTTTGGAGCTTGCTATGCAAGTACTCTGCCACTTGAGCCCCACTCCCAGTCCTATCTCAGTCATTTAAACACAAGCCCTACCCAAAATACACTTGAGTGACTCACAGATCACAGATACATACACGACTGGTAGCAGTAGAACTAGCAGGAATGAAGGGCCATAATGAAAGAAAGTAAGCTGATTTTGCCAGAATCCATAAATATTTAATAACTTTAACAAGTACATTAGTGTAATTATGTGGGTGGGGGAGAATGACAGTAGAGAATGCAATTAAAGGGAAAAACTAAACATTAAGAGATTAAATTCAACTGGGCACCCATGGCTCACGCCTGTAATCCTAGCTATTCAGGAGAACTGAGGTTGGAGGCCAGGCCAGGCAACTAGCTTGCAAGACCTTTCTTGAAAAT